ACAATAACATGCATTGTAGTACAGCCATGCAGTGGGGCAGTTGAACAAACATGAGCTTCAGGGAAAAACTAGACAGGAGAGGTGGCTATCCCTAACTCCATAGCAGAGGGTGATTCTAACCTAGATTTGGATAAAAACTGACCAGTCAACAGACCTGAACTCAGAAAAAGGGTTGGAAAAAATAATAAGACTGAAAGGACAGAACCTTTAGGATCAAATCCAATGGGCAAAGGGAGCTATACTTGTAAATTACACATGGATAGGACATGAGGACCAAACTTAATGGCATGGGTTTTTTTTGTTGTTGTTGTCGTTTGTTTTTTTTTGTTGTTGTTGTTGTTTTTTTTACCTTTTTAAAAATTTTAAATGCTTACTCTAATAGGAAAATTCGGATTCTGGTTTTTCTACTCTGGGTAAGGAGGAGAATGAAAAATCTCGCCTCCGCCCAGTGCCCATGTCTGCATGAGCAGCACAAAAGCTATAAAAAATTTCCATTCTGGGGCGCCTGGGTGGCTCAGTCAGTCAAGTGTCCAAATCTTGATTTCGGCTCAGGTCGTGATCTCAGGGTCATGAGATTAAGCTCCAACATCTGGCTCTACACTCAGCGGGGAGTCAGCCTGAGAGTCTCTCCTCCCCCCCACCCCCTCTCCCTGCTCACATACACACTCTTCCTCTCTCTCTCTCTCTTTTAAATAAATATTTAAAAAAAAAAAAAAAAAAAGAACTTCCATCCGCAGATGACAGCCTCTTTGACCAAATGCCACAGGGCTGGCAAAGATTTCTAAACAGATTAATGAGAGGCTTCTGAGAATGTTAACTCAAAACCATTGTTTCTAAGATACAGCCTGGGTCTCTTGGAGAAAAAAGCTGGCCAGTTAAAAGGAAAGGTATGGATATGAATATTGTAGACTCACTGGTCGAGTCGCTGTAACACGGCACCAACATTTTCTGCAAAACTGTTATTACTGTACTAGTGGTGCTGTCTTAGAAGTCTATGCAGCTCTGTCATTTAAAAAGCTAACCATAACATAATGTTAACATATGGAAACCAGGCTATCCTTGTTCTCCAGGCTCAGGTGCCCCTACTGACCACAGCATCTTCTTAGCACCAGAAGGGTTGGTCTTACAACCCTTCTGGCCACTTCTGCATTTCCTTCTTTAGAACCCTTTAAATAAAAACAAAAGCAGAGGAAAAAAAACAAACAAACGTGCAATTTACTACAGCAAGTAAAAGCCAGGATCCATTTAGCGTGTGCATTCCTTGCAATTCACTGGTATGTCCCTTCTGAAGAAAATGACAATCAAAAATAACTTCGCTGTACCACTGATGTTTGCCACCAAGCCACGCCCCACGGTCCCACCACCCAAATCACACACGCGTCTCCACTCTGGCACACTAACCGTCCACCATACACCCACCCAACAATCAAGAAAAGAAGACCTTCCTAAGAAAGCAAGTCACACAGACACTAGCTTTACACCCCCAATGGGATCTGCCGGGAGTGAAACATACAAAGTCAGCCCACACACATTCATGTGGTCTCAAAGTAACTCCCCATCAAACACTTACTCATAGAAAGAGGAAACCAGTCATTTTAATGTAGAGAAGACTGGCAGACGCTATGTGTGTCACCACCAAGGGACCAAAGTTAAAATCACGAGTAACGAACCAAGTTGGCATCACGCACTTCCTGATCTGAGGTGCTTAGAACCCAGCACTCCTCTGGTGTTCTTGCTAAACCTGAATTAATCATGACATTAGATAATCTACAAAATACCAGGCCTGTAACCTTCAGAAACACTGCTAGCTGTCTGAGCGCCTGGGTGGCTCAGTCGGTTAAGCATCTGACTTTTGCTTTCAGCTCAGGTCACGACCTCAGGGTCCCAGGATCGAGCCCACACTCTGCCCTTCCCCCCACTTGCATGTGTGCATGCTCTCTCTCTCTCTCTCTCTCTCTAAAATAATCTTTAAAAGTAAAAAAGTGTTAGTTGTGAAAGGAAAAAAAGAAAGAAAAGAAAAGGAAAAGAAGTATGACACAGTCTACAAAGGGGACATCAGACAAATTGACAGCTAAATGTGTTCTTGGCCAAGAAAAGAGACAACTGGCAAAACTTGAATGAAATCTGTAGACTGGATAATAATATTAAATCCTTGTTAATATCTAGATTTTTACAGAATGTTAACTGTCTGTACTTGTGCTTATAATAACAGAATGTTCTTGGTTTGAGTAAATACACAGTGAAATCCATAAAGTCAGAGGGGCATCGTGTGTGTAACTTGCTCCCAAATTTTCAGAAAAAAAAAAAACAAAAAAAACACAAAAACTTATGTACATATATTTGTACACACACATGGACATGTGTGTGGGTGTGGGTGTGTGTATAGAGAAGAGAGAGAGAATATGATCAAATAAGTATGGTAACATGTAAAACACAAACATTAACATTTGGGGAATGTGGGAAGCTTACATAAGGATTCCTCACAACATTTCCATGACTTCTCCAAGTAAAAAGCTTTTCAAGATTAAAAAACAATAATAATGACCCAAGTGGGTCTGAGCTTTCCAAGGACGGAGGTGGAGAAGGAGGAGGAATATCCCATCTCTGTCCCATGTGCACCCCCATCCCCAACACCTGAGAAGCACCGGATCGTTGTTGGCTTTCCTGACCGCCACTTTGGAAGCCTGCGGTGAGTTCGCCCAGGGCACCGCTACATCTCCAGAGCCCCAAAGCCTAGTACAGGGCCTGCCATATACTGATGGCTCAAGAAATGGTCAATGAGTGAATGAGCTATAAGAAGTCTCTGAGAGAAACCGGGGACAGCCCCCACCAGGGTGCTCCAGCCGCAAAGTTGGTAGATTATGGTGCTCCTGTATAAATGGCTAGGTGGGAATGAGGGGCAGGAGGCATCCAAATAAAGAGTAAGATATGGTTCTCCCAAGGGGTATTCTCTTTATTGAGGAGGAATGGTAACTAAGCATGTGTCCTAGAGTTGTCCTGAAACGGCCCTACTCTCTGGACTGGGGGAGGGAGGGCATACATTCCAGGTATGATGTGCGCCAGTGCCCAAGGTCTCTGGGGGATCCCGCATAAGCTATCTGATGTACCGAGATGAACCTAAATGAAGACCAGGGAGGGCCCCCTGGGTGGCTCAGTCAGTTAAGTGTCTGACTCCTGGTTTCAGCTCAGGTCGAGATCTCATGGGTTGTGGGATTGAGCCCTACATCGGGCTCCATTGCTCAGCGAGGAGGCTGCTTGAAGGTTCTCTGCCTCTGCACCCCCAATAAAAATAAATAAAAATCTAAAAGAAGAAGAAGAAGAAGAAGAAGAAGAAGAAGAAGAAGAAGAAAGGGAGGAGGAGGAGGACAAGTAGACCAAGATTCCCCAAGATGACATTAAAGACTGAAACAGCTCCCTAGTCAGTAAATACTTCATTATGAACACAATGCCCCATTACATTCTGTTCTTACCTCCCAAACTGACTAGCACTTAGTTTCTCAAATTCACACTGACTACACACATGAGGTATGAAATTGGAATCATTTTAATTACCAAAGTTCAAGAAAGCTTCGAAAAAAAGTTGTTTAGCAGACGAAAAACGTGACTTTGCTTCAAAAATTCAGCTAATTCAAGAACATCCCAACAGATTGCTTTTCCAGAGACATTCAAGTCTGAATAGAGATGAAAGGGGGTGGGGGGGAAACAATCCTCAGGCCACCGGAGTGTAAGTCTTAGGGGATGTTCCTATAACCCAAAACTGGGTTATAGAAAATTGGGATCTACAAGAAATGTGCTTTCTTGAATCACCGAGATCCAAGTTCACAATCATGAACACCATGTGATAATATTCCAGAAACAAATTAAACAAGGCAAACCGTGGCAAATAAGAGAGGGCAGGACTCCAAATGGCAAACCTGATTTGCATATTAATGCAAAGAAGGACTTTTTGCTTTAATGAGGAATACAATTTTCGTGGAATCTCTAGGTGAGATTGCTGTGCTCACTTGTAGGGACTTGTTTACCAACTTATTTGAAAATGAGTTCATATGGCAAATCTAAAACATAATGGGGATGGGGGGAAAAAAACCCTTCTTAATGAATAACTAATCACCAGTGAGCCCACAGAAGAACTGGGGCAGGCTGGTACAGCTGCCTCGCTCTCCATTTTACTTGCCACAACTGGGGGGCCAACTAGCTCCCCCTCAGAGTCAATGCCCTCCTCTAACTTGACAAGGGCAGGTGTGTAACTCGCTCTGAGCGTTAGCTGCCAGCTACTTGTTGATTTGTCCCTAACAACACCCTTCCACTTCCTATCTCCCAGTATGAAGCTGCCCCGCCTCTCTAGAATGAAGTGGGAGAAGGTAGACGTATCACATCTCCTTCTAGGTACTCCCAAGGGGATGTTGTTTATATAACCCCAAAGGACACAGAGTAAAGACAAGAACGTTACCTGATGAGCCCTACCTCGGGATCAGGAGCCAGCTTCCAACCCTTCTGTGCTCAGTATCCCTCCCGTCCCCAACATGATCTAGTCCTTGGGCTGCCAAGGGCATGGCTCTACCAGCGTCAGCTGAAATTGCAAGGATCTGTGGTGACCTGACACCTGACCTAAGGGTTCTATTAGGGACCCCTCTATGGAGTTCGGCTAGAACCTCAGATCTACACGCAAATCATTACACGGTGTGGCACTCTTCTTATTTTAACACATCCGAATCAATCGATATCTCCCCTCCCACACACTCCTCCATTCTCCATGAGAACCCATACTCATGATACCCCTGGGCTGTCATACCAGCGGGACGATAATGGCATTTTGGTGAAAATCAAGCCCTCATCTATTTTGGTCTGAAGCGGAAGCCAAGACACTAGATCCAAGGATAATAGGACGGCTCCCGAAATGTGAGTCTTCGTGCTGGTCATCAGTTGCTGGTGTGCTATTACCAATGAAAAATGCAGAAGCTTTCGCCTCTTGGTTCCCACCCCCAACTGGTTCTTCTTACCTTTGGTTCCATTGAAATGAAACTGTGGGTTCCTCTGCTCGAGAGAACTGACCTTTTAATCGTCCTGCTATGGTAGAAGTGGTAGTAGTCCTTCAGGGCCCCGATCTGCAAAGACAGGAGGAGAAGCCCAGAAGGGAGTTAGTGGGAATTAAAGAGTCTTCTGTGTTCCTGTGTTGCATGAAAATAAGAACACAAAACAAAACCAAAAAAAAAAAAAAAGGTCCATAAATTATGCAGTTGCCTCTATGCTTAAATGTTACTTGAACCCTAGTGATCACTTTTCCAAAGAAGGACATGTGACATGAAATGGAGTGTCCTTGAGGCAGTGACTGCGGAACTCAAGATTATAATGGGGCAGCTTAGCTCTCCGTATCTCCCTTTTAATGTTTAATTTATATGCAGCATTTTAAGTAATTCTATATCCATTTATATCCAAATGTGGGAAAGAGAAAAAAAATCAAATAGCGATCTGGTTATAAAAACACACTGCATTCTGTTTGCTCCGAGAAATGTACAATGAAGGACCTCGTTAGATTATTTATATCATCAATTTGAAATCAGTCCTGAGCAGTTGGTCATTCACAAAGGAAACACTACTTCAGTTTGTTTCCTGCCTTCAGTCGACAGTATAACGACATCGCAGTTATGCATTTATTACAAACTAAAAGTGGGCGGTGGTATCTGGAACCAGAAGAAGATCGCATACCCTAGCTACCAGCTAAGCAACCCGGGTAAAGCCAGTGCAAGCCAGTTGATCACAACCACTTCTTTCAACATACTCATCTTCTCACCTGTGCACCCCTCCCTTTTGCTGAAAACAGTTCAGTCTGCTTAGGATAGCTTTAAAAATAAGTCACTGGCCCTTTCAGAAAACAAACAAAATCCCAGATAATCAGGTTCTCTCAGCAGATTATCAGATGTGGGTCACATACATGGAAATGGAACAAGACAGCAAATGAACACAGAAGAGCCTGGTTCTCGCTCTGGGTGACACTGCTCAGAAGTGGCTTCTTAGCTAAATCCCATGTACTTACTATGCCTCCATTTCCATTCCTATAAAACCAGGTGTTGGGCTGGTTAACGTCTTTTTTTTTTTTTTTTAAGAGTTTATTTATTTGACAGACAGAGATCACAATTAGGCAGAGAGGCAGCAGAGAGAGAGGAAGGGAAGCAGGCACCCCGCTGAGCAGAGATGCCTGATGTGGGGCTCAATCCAAGCACCCTGGGATGGAGACCTGAGCCGAAGGCAGAGGCTTTAACCCACTGAGCCACCCAGGCACCCCTGGGCTGGTTAACTTCTAAGATCACTGCAGCCCTCAAATTCAATCAAATTCTACTCTTTGACAATGACACTTTTTTTTCCTTCTTTGCTTTGCCCAAATACATCAAATGGGCTATTTCTCCAGAACACCATGGCTCTACCCTAAAAGAATGACCATCAACAGCATGGTTTCCAATGGGGACAATTCAAAAATTGGCTTTCTTAATTTAAAAAAAAAAAAAGGAAAAAACCTCATTGGCCCACCTTCATTTTTCCAGATAAAAGGTTTATTTTTTTAATTCTCTTCTTTCCACCGATTCTCGAGCATCATTCTATCTCTCTGGAGAGGATGACTGACCTAGCTTCTGTGCCACTGAAGAGTCACCCCCTACCTGGGACTTTACACTCTAAATGAATGACTCAAATTATCATTGGATAGGACAGTCTGAAGTCACACATTTTTAACTCAAGTGGAAACTGCCCAGATATACACAGAAAAGATCGGGAACTCGGAAACAGCAGCAAACAATGAGGAAGAAGACACAGATGTCCACAGATATCCTCAGTGTCCAAGAGGGTTTCAAGGAGGGATTTACAGGCCAATTTTAAGATTCCAGAGGACTGGGGCACCTGGGTGGCTCAGTGGGTTAAAGCCTCTACCTTTAGCTCAGGTCATGATCCCAGGGTCCTAGGATCGAGCCCTGCATTGGGCTCTTTGCTCAGTGGGGAGCCTGCTTCCTCCTCTCTCTCTCTGCCTGCCTCTCTGCTACTTGTGATCTGTCAAATAAATAAATAAAAATCTTAAAAAAAAAAAAAAAAGATTCCAGAGGACTAAGGGTAGAATTCACAATGGGCTATGTAATCCTTTATAAGAAAATCTTAAAATCCCAAGGAGCTTAGAGCTTTCATCTCATGTAGCTTTTGTCAAGAGTGCTCCTTGGGTAAACACAGTAGTTTCTGTGGAAATAAAATCTTTGGGGAAGAACTTTATACAGAACCTATCACCAGTGTGCATATGGTCCATGAGGTTCAGACCATGCCCATGCAACTACAATGGAACCTCTTTGATGATAGGAAATAGTTAAATTCAACTGAACCATTAAGCTCAAATGTGGATGAAATATGTCCTGAAGATTTAATTCTGATCCTTTGTGGCCTCTTTGGTAAAGACTGGAATCTTGGACTTACATAGCATGTACAAAGCTGGAAAACAGAATCATCGTCCTGACTTAACATGCTTTGGGATGTCGGATACACCACTGAACTATGTTGGGCTTTGGTTCCTCACTGTAAAATAAGGACACAGCAGGCACAGTGGACAGAGACTGGGTATCAGAGTCAGATGAGGGATAAAAATGTGTACGGGTGAGTGTGGTTATAATGACTGAGCAGCGTAACAGGTGCACTGCCTGGTCAAGGCCTTGCTGGGTATGTAGTTTCTGATTATCGGTTTCCCTTCTAAATTTAAATTTCACTCCTACCTTCTCTCACCTCTTGTCCTGCAATCCCTTACCTCTATCCCTTGGTCAGAATTCCTCTTGGTGTGCCCAACCTAGTATCACCTCTTGACTTCCCTCATCTTAACTGGCCAACTTCAAAAAGTCTGATGATACACTGTTGGCGAGGACGTAGGCACAAATGCAGCATACGTAGGACTGGGAAAGAGCACACCTTGGGACAACTGTTTTGAAAGCCATTCGGTAATATCAGTAAAATTATAAACTGCACCCAACCTTTGACCCTGCTTTTCCACTTCTAATAATTATACAGATATAGTCACTTATGTATAAGAATGGATGTTGGAGAAATTCTGTAAAGCAAAATAATTCAAACAACTAGCTATAATCAGTAGGTGTTTGGTTCTATATGAGCTGAAAGAATTGATCTCAAAGAAAGGAAGGAAGGAAAAAAGGAAGGAAGGAAGGACAGATAGGGGAGGGAGGGAGGAAGGAAGGAGAGGAGAAATAGAAAAAGGAGGGAGGGAGGGAGAAAATAGGACCCCGTTTTCGTAGGAGAACAAAGAAAGAATCTGTACTACGTGTATGCTTATACGCACAGGATATCTCAAGAATACTTGAACTACAGAGAGAGCTTTTCTTTTCATTGTTTATGTGTATGTATTATTTCTTAAATTTAAAAAACTAATTAAAAATGAAAGAAATAGCAACTAAATGAACTAGCGTACACCCGCAAGTGGCACCTACTCTTCCAGGGGGCAAATCCACTTCCCAACGTCTGTGTGCCTGGTACAAGGGCCACCTTTCTCCAGGCCGTGAGATCCCTCTAGCAGGAAGCTCTGCTTTACCTCCACCTTGCAGGGGTCCCGTTTCCTCTACAGAGTCAGGGAACGGTGTTCTATGACTGAGTGATGGCTCATTGACTAAAGGCCTACCATGTGCCAGGCATCGCCCAGCTCTTCTGCAGGTGATTGTATTTAACTGAATTCCCTCAGGAACCCTAGAAGATAAAGATAGTTACCTCCACTTTGATCAGTGAGGTTGTGGGAGCTCGGGGAGTGCCCACACCTACACAGCTAGGACGGTAAGGGGTGGGCTGGGGGCGGGGCGGGGGATGTAAATCCCTGCTGAACAGCTAGCTAGCATCTGAGCTTAGGCTGCACAGTTTATCCCACAGGTGGGCTCGGTCCCGCAACCTTCCGTGAGCTTCCCTGCACTGCAGAGCTAAAGGGCTCCACTCTTTGCAGCCAGGGTTCTGATGTGATTAAGGTTCTGCCAATCAAAGGCAGACTACAGCATCCTGGGGCGGGCTCCTGGGGGCCATTATGTGTTTAGCGGTTGTGCTGGCAGAGGTCTTAATGCAGGCTGCTAGCTTTCTGCGCATTTGTTTTGCAACATCCTGTTTTGTTGATAAATTGGTAAGAGATCACAGAAGAGCTATGGGGGCAACAGAGTAGCTTCCTCGTGCCTCGGTTTTTTGTGGGGGATGAAGCAGCAACTCTTGGGGAGGCCTATTGTGTGAGGGGGCATTGGGGGACACTTCTGAAAGCTTTGTCTTCTCGAATGATTCTACAGGCTATTTAATAGTCTATACTGAATGCCTTCCAAAGTAGAATGACTAAGTGGATTCTGCAGAAGGCTCCCTGCTAAATCTAAAATTGGAGAGATCAAAACTTCCAGAAAAGTAGCTGCTCATTTACACAATCTCATACAACTTAGAGACCCTCCAAGTTATGTACCTCTTGAGTCATGAACGCTTATGGGCCCCAGTGAGGCCCAGGCCCCCGGGTGACTAAATGTGTTCTGACCACCTGTTAAATGAACACACTTGCTTCCAGCCCTCTCGGAGCCATACGCACCAACCTCCTCTTTCAAATCTGTTTTCTACACCACAGCCAGAAAAAGGCCAGAAAATGCAAATCTGGTCATACTCCCGTCTAAAATTTCTAGGGGCTTCCCTCTGTTCTGAAAAGAAACAGTAATAGTTAATATTGAATATTACTTAATATTATAGTTTCTAAAGTAAATCAGAATAATAATATCATATCAACATCAATGTTATGCCAAGAACTCTCTTGCATGCTTTACCCAAGTCTTTTTTTTCCTTTTTGCTGCAAGACAACAGCTTAAGGGTAGCACATGTTAGCTCCATCATGCTACATCATTTGCACAAAATAATCTGTCACCTTGTGGAGTTATACATTTTAATCTAAATCTATATATTTAAAAGCATGTTTATGTCTCTTGTCTATTAACATGCATGTCCCTTATTGGTGAGAATTGTGTCTTTCATATTCTTTCAACAGCACTGAGCATGCTGAGGGCATTTAATAAACATTAGGAAGAAAAATGTCATAACATATTGAGAGCTATTCAAAAGAAAGACA